GATGAGCCTAGATATGAAGTTACAACTTTAGGTATTGCCCAATAGCCGAAATGAATCACCAATCATGCTAAAATGTCTCTAATCTCAAGCATGAAGGGATCTAGATAGAAGGAAGTTCAAGATAAGGACTTATTACCTCTAAAATGTTGCTAAGATGAAGTAGGACTCGGATCCATAGCCTCTTCGTGTTCCAAGCTCTAGAACTTTAAGCTCTTCTCACTACAATCCACCTTCAAAGCATAAAATCACACAAAATGAAGAGTAAACATATTATTTATTGTTAAGAATAATTAATTGGGGTATAAATATGATTTATTAATATATTGTATGAATAATATATTAAGTTGGAATCATATTATTAATTATTATTTAATTAGAAATTAATTATGAATTAATTTTGGGATTAAAGGAATTAATTAAAAATGCAGGGGCTGTTTTGTAATTATTTGATAGTTGAGACTTTGGCCCATTGGATCGCCTTTATTAAGGCTTGGCCGAAAGTCCTAGAGAGATCTAGGAGTTTTCATCCAAGGGCTTAAGGAAAGGAGTCCATGGGTTTCCTTAGGCCCTAAGCTAAGGGATTAGGGTGTCCACCTTGAAACCCTAGTTGACTTCAACTATAAATAGCACCCTAAGGCACTCAAAATCGGAAACCCTTGGAGAAACTCTAGTAGAGCCGATTTTGTGAGCTTGTCACCCTCCATCATCTCTCTTATATTCATCCTCTTACTCAAGTGTGTTTGTGAGCCATTAGAGCTACTACACTTGTGGTACTTGCTTTCAAAAGCCACGGAGATTCAAGAAACAAGTTGTTATTACTACATAGCAGCAAAAGGTATGTATTCTATTTTTATATGTGAATTTTGAAAATTATAGATGCATGCTAAGTTTCTTTTTGTGTTCATAAAGTTGTATGTCTAATAGTGAAAACATAGATCCAATTAGGGTTGCATGCACACATAGGATTGTTTGTATAAAACCCATCAGGTTATGCACAACTTATGCAATGGGGTCTTTTCTTCTTATTAATAGCTTAATCCTTAAGCTCTTTTTCCTATATATCTAGTCTTAAAATAACGTCCTTAACCATAAAGTTTGCAACTTTATGGCCTTACATGGCTATTAAGTTCCCAAACACAAAAACTCTAACTACTTAAACCATTAAGACAACCTAGATCATTAATGAAAGGAAACTAAAATTCAAGACTACATTTTTATGCTTCCTAATAGCTCCATAATGGATAAAGTTTACAAATTTATCTATTAGAATGGTCCAAAAGACCAATATCTAGTCTTTTAAGTTTCAAAGGGACCAAAAGTGCATCCTTGTTATTTAATCCATTAATCCAAGTTTCTAACCTTTAGATCGGAATCAAAATGATGTTTAGATGGATAAAGTTGGAAACTTTATCTAAAACAAGGTCACAAACTTTCAAGATCTAAACTTTATGCACTAAAGTGACTAAAAGCTCAAAACATCCAAAACTAGCTAGATCTAACAAATGTGTCTTCAAGATTCAAGCTTTATACCTCTAGAAGAAAGATCAAGGTAAACAAAGTCTGGATCCACAAGCTCCAATGCAACCAACACTTCTCCAATGATATCATTCGTCTCCAAGATGCACCAAGATCACTCCAAAGCACTCAAGAACACCTTCTTTTACTCACAAGGCTCAAACTAGAGTTAGGGTTTTCAAGGGAGGGTTTGGGAGAGGTGGAGGCTGAGAATGGAATGAGTTTAGGAAGTTAAGGAGCTTAAATAGGTCTCAAATCACAAAAATAAGGTTTAGGCAATGATCGCGTATGTCCAACATACTTCTGGTACGCCCCGCGTACTTAGGGATGCCATAGTGCGCCCATTGTACTTCCCCGTACGCCCAATGTACGTGACTTAACCTAAAACCGTCTTAACTTTAAACGGTCACAACTTCTTCATTCCAACTCTGTTTTTGACGCTCTTTATATCCACAAAGAGGTATTGAAGAGTTCCATAATATTATCTAAATATCTTGGACTAAAAACTTTCCGAACAAAAATCCATATTTCATGCTAGAAGTCTTAAACATCACTTTTCCTGTTTTGCCCCTTTGACTCCAACACAAACAACAGGCTTGGGTCACATAACCAATATTATCAATATCCAATAGGATCTAAACTATATTCCCTTAAAGCTCAATGTCTTTACTTGATTCACTTATTGTCCACAATCCCGGAATTAAAAAACTTCGTGAAACAGGATGTTACAGTATTAAAAAACACAAGATTTTTTTTCTTTTATTGTAATTGTCGTTGTAGATTGTATGGATGAGCCCATTCTTAAAAAAAAATAAATAAATCATAAATAGTCACACTAAATAAATTACGAATGTTTAGGCAAACTTTTTTTTTTCTATTTTATCCAATTTTGGTGAGACTTTATGTCAATTTCAACGACATTATCTATATATTAATTAATAAAACAATAAACTTTTATTTTCATATTTTTTATTTTTTCTTCTAACATTAATTAACAATTCAATAAATGCTTAAAAATATTAACTAGATATGTTGCACACGCTCTGTATGCGTCTGATTTGAGTGTCGTTTTTATTTATAGATTAATAGGCGTCGTTGTTGACTCTTTTGATTAACTTTCGATTATTTTCATACGGATAAACAGTCGGAGATACATAAATACAGGGCAAGAAAAAAATAAAAAGGTTAAATAGGTGGACCAATATAGAAAAAATATAACAAAAGAAGAAAATGACAAACATAGAAAATGTAAGGACGAAAACACTAAAAAGAAACATGAGTTTCACTAGTTGACTCTTTTAGCGGAAAAACCCTTTACCCGGGCCATTTTTTGTGTTTTTTATAAAAAAAAAATATATATGTAAAATTTTTAACTGCAATGACCAAAGTGTCAAAATAGCTAAAAAATTAAAGGGGTTGGAGTTAGCAAGTTTTTAGAAAATGGACAAAAATTTGTCAATTCCATAAAGTTTTGTGGCTAAACTTTGAATATTAAAAGGTTCCTAAAAAATATAAAATTTTTGATGCAAGGATCAAAAAAATCAAAATAACTAAATACTGAGAATCAAAGTTGACAAAAAACATGATATTTTACTATTCTTAACTTTGAACTTACAGGAAAAAAAAAACAAAAAAAACAAAAAAACAAACAAAACCAGAGGCATGAAATCTACCAAAGCTACAAAGTATTGTGGAAAATTGGAAGGTAAAAGAAAATAGATATAATTGCAACATCACCCATAATCACGGAACCGTTTCTATCAAATCGTTAGGAACTTTATTGCTCCTAACTTTAGATATTTTTAGTATATATATATATATATATATATATATATATATATATATATATATATATATATATATATATATATATATATATATATATATATATATATAAAAAAAATTCAGTATCATATCTATATATTTTAAACTTTTAAATTTATCTTGATATCTATAAAACGAATATAAGGTGAAAATGCTTTTCGGTCCAATCCGAGTTAAATCCCATGTTCCGGGTACGGTCCACTTCAAACCCAAAACCCAATTAGTGGTAAATACAAAACCTAAAAACCGACCCACTAATATAATTGTCCGGTCCGATCCGGGTCTGGTTCCGGGTTTTTTCCAGTTTGGTCCGGTCCAACAGGTCGCATGCTCATCCCTATATGATGGGTTGAAAGAAACCTCACGGTTGGGCTCATTATTGTATGTTTGGGTTGGAATATACCACAAGGTTGGGCCTAACTATATGTTTGATATGTGGTACTTAGAGAAAGTTAGTAAGCTTTATGTTTATAGTTTATTTTTATAGTTTCAGGTACTTCAGGTATGCAAGGGAAGGTTCTGGTGTGATGACACAACATTCCTCTCATGATTCCACACTTATGATTATTTTTACTTTGATAATTTGACATTTTGTATCATGGTTAACTTTGAGACATCTAATGTATAGGATGCATGATTTTTAAAAAGAAAATTTGTATCACTGTTTTGAAATGCTTCATCTACCAAAAGTATCTCAGAAGATTGAAGATGGAATGCGACAAGGAGGGAAAAAAATGATGTTTTACGTCACACCATGTATTCACATGCATGGAATACCATAGATGAAAAAATCTCTCAACTTGCTAAAGATCCAAGAAATCTACGATTAGGAATAGCAGTTGATGGGATTGACGTCAATAAAAGAAATAGGCATCACAGCGTATGAAAAGAAAGTTTATCATGTTTTTTTAGAACCGTTGGTTGATGATCTGCAATGCTTATTCGAGGAAGGGGTCGATTCCTATGATGCTTCAACAAAAGATAACATTAATCAACGTATCGTTGTGTTAGTGGCAATAAATGATTACCTTGCACTTGTACATTATGTGGCTACTCATGCATTATATAACTTTCAAACAAATCAAGGTTGCAACATGTTCTAAAATAAAAGGGTTTTATCGGTTAATCTATTTTAAATGAAAAAACTTATTTTGTAATTTTTGGGATGTCAGAGACCATATATAGTCTTATGATTTAGACACACAAACATTCTATATGACTAATATCAAATTTAATAACTTTTTTACCCATTTTTTCTCTAAATAATAGTCACATGAATATTTCACGGCTTGACTGTTATAAATATATTCGACACATATAATCACCTAAACTATAGCCATACATATCATTTAGATACACATTTGTGACATGACATGCCTTTTATAAAGTCATATAGTCACATGATTGTACTAGAAATAACATGTGATTATACACATTAGCTTTTGGCAAGCTAAAACACGTTAAACATTAGACACACATAATAAGTTATACGACCATATGTACACGACTTTTGCTACACTGAAATCATATGTGACAAACTCGACTTTATATATTTAGACACAAACAATTTCTTCATGTGACCATATATATATATATATATATATATATATATATATATATATATATATATATATATATATATATATATATATATATATATTCTTGGAGTCAAGTGCAAGGCGCATCATTTTAATCTTTCGGTGAAAGTTTGGTGTCTTTTGAGACTCCCAATACAAAGCAATCCGGATCTATCGTATCCAAGAATCAGCATGCAGCAACAACAACAAAAAACACCTCTAAAATATACGATGACGCCATAATTAATAAGAATAATATTTAATTAAAGAATTTCCAAACTACAAAACAACACCACCACATACATTACGATTACGTTACGTTATCTCCTTCCCTCTCAATACGCTGCCATTGAGATGAACCCCATGCCCAACATTGCCCACGTGCTCCAAATAAATCTTTCCTGTAAAAGAAAATGTTATGACTTTATTAATTTTAAACTTTATTATAAGATATTCATTTACTTTATTTGATACATGTGATGGATACATTTATGCCATTTTCAATATAAAGAATTTATGACAAGGATACATATATAGACTTATATGACATTTTTGGTTGGATAATGATCGGAATAAGCAACGATAATGACAATATTTGTATTTATAATTTAACTGAAATTGTAAAAAAAAAAAATCTATGGTTTTATCCGATTGATTGGGGCACGAAACGACGTAGTTTGAAAAGCTGAGACATGGTTCAAACTTCGAAGTGCAACGTCCGTCATTGAAGGGTGCACTTCGTGAACAGTGAACTGTCTACGTGGATTAACACAAACGGTAATATGCGCACGTTAGCAAAATAATTACCCTGAAAAAGTGGGAAAAAGGTAAACTCACCGTCGACGACGAAATAGCTAGGTATCCACTCGATGAGTTCGCCGGCGGCGATAAATATATCGAAGGTCCATTCGTTCCGGAGCTGCTGCTGCTACTACTACTACCACTACCTGTGCTTGTGGAATTGCCACTGGAAACCGCGATTCCGGAGAATCCTAAACCATATGACGGAGTTCCGTCGGGTTTAAATAAGCCGTAGTTCCTTTCCGATGTCGGTCCAGGTTTCATGTTCTCGTTGAACATAGCAAACACGAAGATGTTTAAATCGGAATTAGGTCTCGCCGGAGTTCCTTTCTTCTGATTGATTAGCTTCAAGAGGTTTCCGTTGTATTTTTTCGCGTTTTCCGGTGACGCTCCAATTTCATCTTCGTCTCCTTTCGACGGCCATCCAGTCTCCGAGATCTGAACCGGGAGCTTCTTGTAACCTAGGGAGGATAGAGCGGCGTAGACCGCATCGATCTGAGCGAATAACATGTTATCGTAATGCAATTTGGTACCTGGATCAACGATTCCAGCATTAGGTTGAAACAGAACAAAATCAAGCGAAACTTGCTTCGGATCAGCTTTGTACGCGAAGAACGGATAAGCATTGATAAGGAATGGAGAGCACGTTTTCGAGAGGAAATCTAAGATCGGAGAGATACATCCTTTCAGATCTTGCCGGAAAGCTCCCGTCGACGGCGGATACGAAGATTGAAGAATAGCAACAGAATGTGCAGTGGTAACAGTAACCTGACTGTCTAATTTCAGGTTCACAAGAACAGTATGTACACTCTGCATCGCCGGAAGCAAACATCCAGACAGAGAAGTATCATTGAAAGTCAATACTTCATTTCCGACAGCAATGGAGGTGATTTTAGTCGCCGGGAGGTAACACTGAACATTAGCCTTCACCCAAGCTTGAGCATTAGCTGGATCTGTCATCTTCGAAAGGTACTCATTACCTAACCCCACAATAAACTCAACCCCAGTGTTTGCAAAAGCTTTCAGCACTTTAGGATCAGCATCATAGAGCTTCACTCTAGTGGCACCAATGGCTTTTACCAACGGAACCACATGCTCCGGTGAAGGAAGATTGTTAGCGATCTGTCCATAGTTTATCCCTACCGAAGCCACCAACACAGGCAATAAAAACCCTACACGAAACAAGTACCAAAAATCAATACAAATGTAAAATTGGGGGAAAACACACAAGAATTTAAACACCACATTACCAGTAAATAGTCTAGCAAGCTTCGAATCTTCCATGGATGAAAGAGGTGGAGAAGATGGATGAGGTTTTGGTTATGTGTATGATTGAAAGGTGGGGAGAGTGACAACAGTAAAAGAAGTAACAGAAGTGTTTGATTCTTGGACGTTTCTTCTTACTTCAGTACAAAATAATCAAAAGAATCAGTGTATGATGAGTAGAGTGGTGATGACTGATGAAAGATGAATGAATGAATCATGAAAACTAGTGGCTTATAAGTTATAAGATAATAACATATAACTCCAGTCGACTCCAGTCTGTCTTCTAATCAATGGGCCTATCAATGGATATACAAAATGCAAATCTACCAAAGGTAAATCGTAGTTCTTTTTATTGGGCTTATTTCTACATATTTTTTACTTTGAGAGTTATATTATATTATGAAAATGAAAATCTTTACATGGTATACTAGGGTTTGAACTTTTACGTAATCCCCTATTTGCTTTTTCCCATTTAGGCTATTGACAAAAAGAAACGACGAATAAAGACAACCAAATTCTTGATTAATTACTAGAGAATGAAAGCACTTTTGTTTAAATTTTATAACGGCAATATTTGAAGGAAAAGTGGGTGGGGATAATTCAAGAGGAAGATGATGAAATATCCTATCTGTGTCCACACTAATAATAATCAATCAATAGACAAACTTCACATGCCTAACATTCCCCTTCACATAATTGTTTCTTTTTTCGTGAGATTTCACATGTGTTTTGGACATGTGCTATGAATCAAACCTACTTTTGCATCCATGGGGACAAACCACAAAGTTCAAAGGTCTTTTGTAGATACGTTTGGGGTATAGAGATTTTTTTTTTTCTTTGTGTAATATGTTCTCCATGTGTTTGTTAAAATTCTAGATTAGGTATATTGATTAATTGTTCACAAAATGATGCATACATGTATGGGATTATTAAAACGTCGCATGTGGGGCAAACAACAACGTTCAACGAAACAAAATAGGAAAGAAACAGATAAAAATACCAAAATTAGATATGATTGGATGGATATCGTAGGAATATGCGAATGTGTCATGTGTTCTTGAGGTGATGTGTTCTTCAGGCGTGATTAAAGTAATAAAAATGTTCTAGGTTTTTTTATTAATTTCAAGCATTTTTCTTTTCTTGAGGTGATGTGATCGACATAAGATTATAGATCTTAGGAAAAAAATCAATCGTAGTGAATTCTCGATGTGGTTATTGATTGTATGTTCTTCAATCGACACGAGGAGTGAAACTATATGTGGGTTACTAGATCAGTATCAAGGACAACAACAATTATGAATTCACAATGGAATGTGTGTTTTTTCTAAGAAAAGTTTGAAATTAATATTTAAAAATGAAAGTTCGTTTATATTTTCATATCATTGAATTGTCTTTGTTTTGGATTTTTTTTGGAATTTGGAATCTCTTTATGATCAAGCAACATATTAAGGTGGAGTCACAAAATCATGCACATAGGTTGTTAAATGGAAAACCTCAAAGAGGGAGTTGTTATTTGAGTATAAGACTAATGACTAAACTTGATTCAAACACCCATAGTTATGGGACTATGGGAGTGAGTTTATCAAGTTTCGTGATAAGGATTTATGATCACACAAGAGTTTTGCAATCATGCACAATGTAAGCTAAAATTACAATTGAAATTTTAATATTCTCATATCCATTGCAATCATGCACAATGAAAGCTAAAATTACAATTGAAATTCTTTTAATATGGGTGTTGATTCGTACACATCAGTTTTTAGCCATACAAAACAATTTGTGTTTTATATAAACACAAATTGTCATGTATGACCAAAAATTGTCGTGTATGGATCACTACCCTTTTAATATTCTCAGATCCATTAACAAAAGTAAAAAATAATTAGATAATAACTAACCATAGTGTTTTAAAAATTACAACATTAACGATGTAATGGTATTTTGATCTACGAGAAAAATTACCAAGAACATGTAATGTTTACAAGTATCCACACATAGGAGGTAATTGATCAAGTTGTTCTTCCTTCTTGCTTACTTTAAATTCATCCACACGACGAAAGAGAGGGATATATATATATATATATATATATATATATATATATATATATATATATATATATATATATATATATATATATATATATATTTGGCACATTACAAGGAGCAGAAGGAAATAACTTTTAAGGTTTTGACTATTTTTGCTTACATATTGATTATGATCTAAATGCTCCCTTAAATACATTTAGAGAAATTAAATACCCGAGAAATTAACTATCCTCCTACTTTTCTTCATACTTATCTTTTTTTTCCTACTTATCTTTATACTCATTTAGAGAAATTAAATACCCGAGAAATTAACTATCCTCCTACTTTGATGATAACTGTTTTACTTGTCATCATTTTACATGTATAGGAAGATAAGTAGGAAAAAAAGTATAAGGATATTTAATTTGGACCTCTAAAACATCTTAACTAATTAACTCCTTAATAAATTTATGTAGTCGTTTAATTAAACAAACTTTTTTAATTATTTTTTGTATAAATAAACATTTTATCTAGCTGTTTTGTTTTTACCATTATATAATAAACAACTATTATTTCATTACTTATTTTGTTAGTGAATAATAAATTTTTTCGACTAATATTTGTTTCTTTATTTATATTGTTCTTTAATATGTGTGGCCCATATATTCTTTCTTTTTTGAAAGAGAACTTCTGTAACGAGGATTTTCTGGCCAACTTTTGCGCACTGACTAATCATCCACTGCAAACATGAGGCTTTTGCATCATGTTCTGGAGTCACTGCAGATGAACCTCCATGAGTACAAAAACTGAGTAGTGCTAAGATTTGACCATGAGTCAATATGCAATTAGGAGTAAAATTAAATTTTTATTCTTTGCACACATTCTCAACATATATGACCATTATTATGATAAGGGTTTGAAAACTTAAACGCATATGCATTACAAGTGACACAAGGTGTGTTAGTTCCACTGAGATACTACTTACTGAAAATCGATTCATTGGAATATGGGGATGTCACACCCTCAAACTGGAACGGCGGAAACATTCGGGGGGTGGAGGATGTCATGTACAGTATCACAATAATTGTATACTAGGAATCAAAGCAAACGCAAACTTTACATTGATAAAGTGAAGTATTTACATCTGTTCAATATATAGTTTGTATGACTTCATAGTGTATAACAAAAGTATAAAGACATGACTCTAGTAAGCTCCGTCTTCTCAAAATCTTGCGGGTGTAACTATCTATCGGTTCCCTGAATGTACAAGTAATTTTGAAAGTGTATCAACATTTGAGTTGGTGAGTTCTTAAGTATGTATTAATGCTGGAAAACTTGTCTTTGTACTTTGAAAATACTAGTGTGCCTCTCACGAAAATCCAATACTTTCTATAGTGAATGTAATGTAATCATGTATTTTCCTTGAATTTGTATATTGTATTAGTGTACTTTGTGTTAGAAAACAGTGTATTGTATCTGCATTTGTATGAAAAACACTTGTATATATACCTGGATACCACCAGTTGTAGTGAAAGTAGTTTACTGTATAGCGTTTGTATAAAAGACCTTGGTATGAATGTCTGGCAATCACTAACTGTAGTGTAAAGTAGTGTACCGAAGTAGTGTTTGCATGAAAAGCCTTGTATGAATGCATGGTTACTACCAACTGTAGTCTAAGTAGTGTATTATAGTTTTCTTAATTATAATAAAACCATTGAAGTAGAGTTAATCCCGTAAACATACGTGTTAGTTATATTATTGCGAGTTTCATATAACCATGCTTGATATGACCTAGTGACCTCATAGACATTCTTCAGGTGTCTGAAGGTTATAACATTTGTCACCCCAGGCCTGTCGGCCTAACTATAGCTAACAGTTTAAGTGTGAGATTGTCAATCCCATATAGATCTATACACAAATATCATGTTCTTCCTCCAGGAGACTATGGTTATATTGTATAGGATTTAGTTACATACACTGGCGGATATAATTGAAGTAGTGCCTCAAAACCCTGTATTTAGGGGTGAGCATAGGTGGGTACCCGTCATATTTGACTGGAACCTGAACCGGAACTGGAACCGGAAGTTCCTAGAAAGTTGGAACCGGAACTGTGATACCGGTTCCTAAAATATTGGAACCGGAATCGGAACCGGAGGGTAACGGTTCCAAAATCGGGTACCCGGTTCGTTAGATTTTTAGACTTTTTATATCTTAAAAAACCTATATATTTTGCATACTTACAAAAAAAATAATTATCAATAAAATTAAACTAGTCATTCATTAAACATCAAGAAGTAAGAATTGACCGATAATTGTAGCATAACTCTAAAAAGCATGTGTAACCCATTTAGATAGAAAACATGCAGACGTACTAACATTTTTTGCGTGCAGACATCAGTTTGATATTAAATTTGAAACTAATTAATTAACATCACAGTAACAATTACATAATAACAAATCAAATTACTCAATAAGCCTTTCATAATTGTGTAAGTCATTTAAATTACTATATATATATATATATATATATATATATATATATATATATATATATATATATATATATACCGATGGTTACCCAGCGGTTAGCGGTTCCAAAAAACTAAGAACTGGAACCGGAACCGCATAATGCGGTTCCAAAACTCTGGGAACCAGAACCGGAACCACTTAAGGCAGTTTCGGCTCCAGAACCGGCGGCTCCATGGCAGTTCCGGTTCCTAAAGTGGGTACCCTGTTCTGATGCCCATCCCTACCTATATTAACTAGTTTATGTGTAGTGTTGTAGTGTTTTCTTGTACTTGAAACTATATGTATAACTTGTAGAGTAAAAATAATTATACTTAAATTATTATTTAGTATTGTACTCTTGTATTCGGAAAATAGTATTGTATACCATAAACTATATCTACCATAGCTTATATGTGTTCGTTTCTGTAAAGTTCTTGAAATAGTAAAACAGTTTGTGTCCCAAACTATACCTATTATAGTTTGTATGTATGTTCTCGTTTCGTGTATTGAATTCTGTAAAAGTAGTCTAATGCTCCCAAACTATATCGATTATATTTTGATTGTATATTATGTATTGTATTGAAAACTTTGCAATTTTTGGTAGTATTTTAAAAGCTACCATTATACTCGACATGTTATAAAAGGGTTAAAAATATCTAACTATTTTTACAAAATGTAGTGATTACTCATTTTAAATAAATTGCAAAGCTTTGAAGCGTTTGTATAAAAACACAAAAAACCCTTGTGTTTTACTTGTATTCCCCCCACTGAAAATGTTAAAAATAGTGAAAAGTTAGGGTTATAAACTCACCTCAAATGTGCGTTAACTGGAGTTAGTGAGTTGTAGAGACGATCGTCGGGTAAGCGTATGCACGAATAACGTTATCCTAAAAATAGTTATATTTGACGTCGTATTTAAATTAATTATAAATTAATTTAAATAATGAGTTAAATAATTTATTATGTAAATAATACTTACAAAATTAATTTGGAATAATTGGAAATGTTTAAGTGTGATTTCGGTGGGAAAAATGGGTTTTCAGTGGGGGGTGGGGTTGATTTTGGTCCTGGCTTGAAGATTTGAAGATCTTGTTGAATCTTC